ACAGCACAAAGTGCAGGTGAAAGCCACAGGGCGCTCTGAAGTGTGTGTGTGTGTGTAATCAAGCCACCCCACTTCAAGCTTGGCAGAAGAAATCACAGGCAGGCCAAGACTCTTGGCAATGCCAGGGCGTGGTGGGCGGGCAAGAAAATGTGCGCCCTGCAGCTAGCCTGACTTGAACCATCAATCAATCAATCAAGGCGCGTGCTCTCAATCCTCTTTCTGCCAAACCCATCCAGGCCAAGAAAGTTTGAATGAAAGCTCGGCAACTTGCTGCAGAAGGCGCACTCTTTTTGTCGCATGCAGTGTGAGATAATGCCGATGTCTGCAAGCTGAAGAAGGGAGTGTCATTGGGTTAGTCAAAGCTTGCACACACACACAGAGGCCAAGAGGGCGCACAGCACAAAGTGCAGGTGAAAGCCACAGGGCGCTCTGAAGTGTGTGTGTGTGTGTAATCAAGCCACCCCAAAGTTCCCCCCAATGCTACAATGCCGTCAAAGCTGCTGCAAGCGAAGACGCTGCAATGCGAACTAAATCAGGCACAATTGCCGGCAGCAAGGACCAACCTTGGGAAAAGGTCCACGCATCATCAAGGCCATCACGGGAGAGACCATCTGCAGGGTTTGCATTCGACTCGATGTATTCGAAGTACACCCTGCAACTCAGCTTTGCGTACAGGAGATGCGCTAGTGATGCGATGAAGCACAAATCCCCTGCACTACTGGCACCCTTGGTGAGAATTTGGCAAGCTGCTTGATTGTCAATGTACCAAATGAGATCGCGCCCAACCAGAAGATGGGGGACATTACAAGGCACAATTACACTCAACAAGGCTTCGCAAGGTGTAATCTGCTGGTGGCGTTCATCAAAGTGCCAGGAGCTGGCATGGCTAGGGTTGGAACTGCATTCTACACATGGGCCGCGACTGCAGCGAGCAACGGAAAGTCAAACACAATGGTTGAAGCTCTGCAGGTCGTGTAAATGCACGTGTAAAGCATCATTCCCAACAACAGACTAGCAAGTGAAAAACCAGTGCACAAAGCTGAAAGCTTGCCACAAAAAGGGTGGAGCCAACACTACACAAATTAAGGCCGAGGGCCGAAGAGCCACGCAACCACAAGGGCTGCGCGAAGCCCCTGAAGCCCTGAAACCCGACATGTCTCGCGTGACTGAGGGAATTTGAAAGTTGGCAAACACACAAATCTCCGTAAACCTTCGTCCCAGATCAGTAAAAGACTAGCCTGGCCAAGCAAAGAGTGGATGCATCCCTACGACAACAAAAACAAGCGTAGGTCAATGGCCGAAGGGCCGCGCACCGAAAAGGCTGCGCGAAGCCCTCAAAGCCCTAGAACTGGACATGTCATGGTGACTCGGGAAAAGCTGCCCGTCAAAACAAAGGGGGCGCAACCCTGCAACAGCAGAAACCCCAGCAAAAGCCGAAAGTTTGCAAGAGAAGGGGGGCCAGCGAAACCCCAGAAGCCCCGAAACTGGACATGTCCCACGTCACTTTGGATGAACTTGCCAATCAAATCTTTTTTTTTAAAAAAAAAAAAAGGAGTTGGCACAAACCCGCATCTGCAAGAGAGGGGGGCCAACAAACAAACAACAATTAGAGCCGAAGGGCCACGCACCCAAAAGGCTGCGCGAAGCCCCCGAGGCCCTGAAACTGGACATGCCTCACGCCACTCGGGGAAAAGCCTGCCGTGTGAAAGGAAAACAAATCAAATAAGAGTAGGCACAACCCCGCAACAAGAAGCCTTTGCCAAAGCTGAAGCTTGCAAAGAAACAGGGGGGCCAACAAGACATAAATGTAGGCCGAGGGCCGAAGGGCCACAAAACATGAGTGTAAGGCCCCCGAAGCCCTGAAACCCGCGTGTCTTGTGTTGTCAGGAAATTTAGTGGCAAACACACTGACCTATTACGCACAGCCGCAGAATTCTTTCACTGTCTATTTGCAGGAGTCGATTGCTCGTTTAATGTGCGGTGGAACGCAGGCTTGGCATTTGGCACAAATCTGCAAGCCTGGCTCTATTCCGATGCCCCACTCCAAGGGAATTCCCGCAAACGGAGTGCCACGGCACCAAGGAACAGGTTGGGATTGGGAGCGCTCACGTGCGATATGAGAAACCCCACGGGCAAAACGAAACCACTCTAAGTCATGCGGCAACCCTTCGTGACTTTAGCCACCGTCGGAAGAGGACGAAGTCTCGTCACTGCTTGCTTCGCTGTCACTTCCCTGGCAATTTACTGGTTTGTCTGCTGGAGGAGTCAAAGCAGAATGTCGATTTAAAATCTGCTGCCAGCTGAGCCCTTTTGTGCGGAAAGACTGCCAATCGAGCGGCCCGGATTCTGTCTCGAGCAACTCCTGAACTGCTGCGCACAACAAAGCTTTAGTGTGCCCAGCGGAGAGCACTCTGTCATGAGCATAGTGCTGGCTCATCTGCACTGGCATTGGCTGGGCATGCTTGGTCGTAACTGACTCCGTCCAGTTTCCCAAGTGTTGGGCAACTTCCACTGGCGTTCGCAAGACCTCTGCTACACTTGGCAAAAAACGTCGCAAAGAGTAAGTGCTGATAAGGCCTACTTCTGCATCAGGCAAACCTTCGCTACGTAACACTGAGTGCAACAGCTTCACAAAGCGCGCCATTGGCATCGGGGCTGCTCGCCAATGCGCACGCTCGTCCAGGCAACCGGAGGGCCCACAGGCAACATCTGGGATACAAAAGGACAAGTCAGGCACCTGGCTGCGCAAGTCAATGATGACCCTTGACGCTAAGCCCAAACATGCTGCCACTTGCCAACATGCATCGGAGCAGCCCATTCGAACGACGGCCGCGTGCCATGTTTGCGCGACTTGCCCTTCAAGCAAACCGCGCGAGCAAAGTCGTGGGACAGCGTCCAATCAGCTGATCGCTGCGCGTGGGCGAACCTCAGGCAAGCCACTAATGGGATAAGGGCTAAAGATGCGAACGTAGCAACGTTCGTGGAACCACCAAGGGCCAGCCTGCAGAGCGCCTGAAAAGCACGAAAGCTCAAAGGCACACGAGGCTGGATAGAGTGTCCCTCGGCCACTCGGTTCCACGTTGCAACCATGGGGTCGCCCAGCGGGAATGGTATGCCGACATGCCGACGCCACCATAACAGCTTCTGGAAAAGTCCTTGCGCTGCAGTTGGCCCTCCGTCAGACGCTTGCTTAAGGAAGGAAAAAAGCAGGGCAACCGGAGGCAACAGAACTTCTGCAGGCCCTTTGCCAAACTGCAACACATAATTGGCCCACCGCCTCAGGGCGCTGAGTTGCGCCTGCAGAGTGCGCCGCTCAAAGATCTGCAGCCGACTCGCCAGGCCTTCGCGAGCAATGGCCTGGTGCTCCTCAAGCAACGGTGACCACAACTCGCCATGCGTGCCAAGGGCGGCATAGATCTCCCAGCAAGCATGGACCATCTCAGAGTGCTGGTGAACTGGCCTCAGGGCAGTCAGAGCATTCTGCGACCACTGAAAGGCGCCCGGCGCAATGCTACCCACAAGCCTGCACCGTTTGACAGCAGGCACAGGGAGGCCTTCAACAGGGCGAGCGCACTGCGGGGCTCCACTGGCACGCCTGGCAAGGAATGCCAAAGCGCCACGGGCAAGCTCGATGTACCATCCAGCTTCCTCATCGTCAATAAAGCCAGACATGGCTGTCACCAGCTCATCCGGTCGCAGGCCAGCAATGTCTGCATCGCACATCAACCCAGAACGGCGCATGCGCTCGATCACTGCACAATGAACGCCAGATTGGAAGAACTGCGAAAAGTCAGGCTCTGCAGGCACTGTCAAGGGTATTGCCTCTGCAGGCACTGTCAAGGAGGGCACAAGCGCAGGGCCATGGCCGTGTCCATGAAAATGCCGTTTCATACCCAAGAAAATGTGCGCCCTGCAGCTAGCCTGACTTGAACCATCAATCAATCAATCAAGGCGCGTGCTCTCAATCCTCTTTCTGCCAAACCCATCCAGGCCAAGAAAGTTTGAACAACAACAACAACAACAACAACAACAACAACAACACAACAACAACCACAACCACAACCACAACAACAACCACAACGACGACGACGACGACGACGACGACACAACAACAACAACAACAACAACAACAACAACAACAACAACAACAACAACAACAACAACAAACCAACAACAACCACAACAACCACAACAACCACAACCAACACACAACAACAACAACAACAACAACAACAACAACAACAACAACAACAACAACAACAACAACAACAACAACAACAACAACAACAACAACAACAACAATGTAACGAATAGGAACATACAACTAGCAAACAACAAACCACCAACCGAGCCAACCGATTCAACAACAAACCATACAACCAACCCAACCGTCCAACCGACCAACCGACCAACCGACCAACCGACCAACCGACCAACCAACAAACCATCCAGCCAACCAACCATCCAACCGGGTAACCGACCAACGAACAAACCATCCAAGCAACCAACCAACCAACCGACCGACCGACCCACCGACCGACCAACCAACAAAAGCAAGAAGAGCACAAGCAAGAACAAGAACAAGAACAAGAAGAGGGACAAAAGGAGCAGCAGCAGCAGCAGCAAGGACAATGACAAGGGCAATCATAGCGACAATGACAGTTATTTAACAGTCTCATGCGCAGTAGCCCAATTGCCAGCGCTCATCAATGAATGGCATGCTCTTCTGCAGAGCAAGCGCCATTAAAAGCACAGCCCGTCTGCACGCATGTGCAAAACATTGGCAAGACAGCGGTGGAGAGCAGAGAAGGCAAAGTAGGCAAAAAGGCGTCAAAGTCATCAAGGGCATGGATGTTGTAGAGGCCATACAGCAAGTTTGAGAAATGTATAGTTTCTTGGGCGGGAGAAAAGAACCCAAATCATCAAATATGAAAAAATGGCACGCGCGCGAATGTCATTCATGTAAAGCACATAGAAAGTACTTGATGCACAGCCCAAGCCTTGAACTCCTCGCGCAAGCCAACCGCTGGCTTGCCACAGCGGCTGGGCTGGACCTGGTCAGTTCGTGGCCCACATTGTCCAAAGTCGTACTGAGCATCGTACTGTGCCAAAACCACAAATGTTGCTCGACAACTTGGCACGCGACTGCTACATCTCTGCGTCTGGACTTGTAGGCCACATCACACGTTGCAGAACCTTTGTCGGATACATGCAATGCACAGCTCAGCAGCATTCCGTGCATACAGGGGCTTTGCTTACAGAAGTGGTTTAGGACAGCGCATCGTGTCCAACTGCTCCAGCTAGCCCATTCACCTTGGAAGAGGACAAACACTGCTTTGTGACATGGCTCACCCTGGCTCACAAAAAAATGCAGCTTAGACCTGCACCGTCAGTGCAGGCCTCGTCACAAGGCATAGTATTGCAAGGCCTTGGTAGATCACGTTGCAGCCACAATCCTAGTCTATCACTCGCTTGGCTTCAAACGCCATCTCGCTTTTGTCGTTCGGAACGCAGAGACTGCAAAGCGAAGCAAGCTCGGAAGCTGCCAAGCAACCAAGCGGGCAGTCGCACCCAACGCATCTCCTCTTTAAACCGTTCAGCCCTGCCTGCCACCATGTTGTGGCGCCACTGCCACGTTTCTCTCGCGACCTTGGCTCACTGCCGGGTTGGTCAGACTTGCCACCTATCAACATGCAACGCAACACTGGCCAACATCGATCCTGTGCAGCTGACGCTGGGTCCCGCCATCACATGAGGCCGAGCATACTGACCAATCATACCACTCCTTAGACATGGCCACGAGTCCGGAACACCACTGCAACAAGAATTTGCTCCGATGCACACAATCATGAAACTCTGAATGATGTTTGTTCACTGTCAATCCCAGGGATCTGGCACTCCACTGACAGTCAACGACCTACAGTGAGGGCTTTGCATGCTGATCCTTGTAAGCTGACACGATTCTGTGCCCACAAATGTTTGCGTCGCCTGGCAATCGTGCAGCTGGCACTCGGAAACTTCCCTTGTGGCTCCTTCACCTCAGCCGGAAAACATCAGGGAAGTTTGCTCAGGGAGGGCAGGATCCGCACAACCACGGCCAGTGTTCATCGCGTAGACAGCAATCTCGCTCGGATTGTGTAAGATATAGCATGTATCATTTGCTCTCTCTTCTTCACGCCTTCCTCAAGCGCTCGCGAGTGCCTTTGCCACACGGAGCATCGCAAGTGGACCTGGGCCAACGCAAGACCTCTTCGATAACAAATTGCGCAAATGCATCTTCTTTTCAGGCATACCGCCAAAGGCTTGTGTGCATGTGGCTGGGGCAACCCCAAACCCACAACACGTGTTGTGATCCCCATATTGGATTCGTCTCTCACCTATCCCCAGCATCCAAAACGTTCCGACTGTCCAACCATACCAATGCTCCTGCTCCCGATCGCGCCCGCAATCCCAATAATTCCTATCGTCTTGACCACCCCAGCCGTTTTGATCGCCCCACCTCACCTAAACTTTATGCACCTCTGACCGCCGCAACCGTTGGTTTCCGTAATTATCTAAATTACCCCTTCCGGCTCGACCCGTCCCAGCCATCCGACCCAGCCTTAACTTAGCAGCTGCTTCCTGCTCGTGAGATGTTTCTGGAGTTGCGCCTTTTTTGTTTCCTGGATTTCATGTTGCTGTTTCCAAAATTGTGATTTCCTTAAGGCTATTGTTTTCTGAACGCTTCTGAGCTGTTGTGTGTGCGCGCGCGCGCGCGCGCGTGCGTGCGTGCGTGCGTGCGTGCGTGCGTGCGTGCGTGCGTGCGTGCGTGCGTGCGTGCGTGCGTGCGTGGCGTGCGTGCGTGCGTGCGTGCGTGCGTGCGTGCGTGCGTGTGGGTGGGTGGGTGGGTGGGTGGGTGTGTGTGTGTGTGTTCGATGTGAGTGTGTGTGTGTGTGTGTCCAACTGAAAGTCTTGCCAGCTTCAGTAGGGAACACTTGAAAGTCCAGGATGCTGGCTTCATCAAAAGTGTTTTAACCACAAACACTCAGCCGATTTGTTTACGCCATGCAACAAGCTGCTTTTGCACTAAACATGTTCCACACGCAAGTCTGTCAATTCCAAGGCCCAGACCATGTCGCCCATTGCTCAAACTGGCAGTCTCCGGACTCAATAGGTCTGCAGTCTGCCATCCTTGGAGACAATCTAAAGCTGCCCTTTTGACATACACTGGCATTCTCATTGTCCGTTGGCTTTGGCTGAAGAACGATGAATACTCTATGAGAGATAGCATCAGTCATGCCATGTATGGCGTAGGCCTATTCTAGCTCCGACCATTGTATGCAGTGTACATGTCTTCACTGTGGGATTCCGACCCGCAAGGCTCGGCTTGGTGCAAGACCTGAATGCTGGGCAAGCACTAAGGCCTGGATCATCACATCTGACACAGCCAAGAGCAGCACTGCATGGTGGCAATAGCCACCCTCCGTGTTCGGCTTCAACTTAGAAGTTCATCAAATTAGCTGCAGGTTGTGCAGCATTCAACCCGAGCACTGTGCAAGCTGTCGATTCCGGTACATCTGACCGCCACCGCACGTCCTAAGCTTGCAAGTACCACAGATACGCATGATGTGCGGCAACAGCACCATGAACCAGCTGTGTGCCACGCTTGGAGCAATCGCTCCATTGCCTTGGAGCAGGGCCAGCGTCTAGCCAATAATAATCATGATTGATAGAAAACAGGCGTAAGCTCCTTAATCACTTGTCAGCAGAACATTCAAGTTTCCAGCGACCACAGGCCGATATCACAGTCTTCACCCGCCGTCGTGGGCCTGGAAAGCGCTCGGGAAAGAGAATTAGCATCTTTTCGCAAGTGGCAAGCACACGTCGCAGCCAAGGTCCCAGCGCGTAACATGCCACAGTCCTTGTGCCGCTCTTCTTTCCGATATGAAGTCTCCGAAGCATGTGTTGACCCCAAATGGGCTCCAGCAAATAATAAATAGGCTCCAGGACGCCACGCAAGCATTCTAGTTTGAGTCTGTCTAGGGTCCCCGAAACAGTCGTTGCAATCTCGAATATCGGCAAAGCGGATGTCTCTAATGATGCAAAAATGCAAACAAAGAGGCCCAACCCAAGACTCGCCGCAACCATCAACAGCTGCTTGCATCTGTGTCAATTAGCCTTTGCAGGCGAGGTTGAGGCGAGTACTCAATCAGAAATTCGTCGCCACAGTCTCCTCAGCTAGAAGAGGTTCACCACACACACACACACACAGACACACACACACACACACAAGCACACACGCACACGTGAACACAAGGCTTGCTACTCTAAGGCACAGGCCTCCCCCATTACTGGGAGCAACTTCTACACTTCGGCGCCGGAAACGCTGGCTGTGAATTGCCTGCGTGGCGCGCACATAATTTTGATCTACATTCAGCATATATGTGTACATGTATATACATATATATATATATATATATTCATGCTAAACCGCCAACACACACACACACCCTTTAACAAAAAGAGCTGCTTATTAGAAGAATGCTGCCCAGTCATGTTAAGTTTAGGAAGCAAAGGACAAGCAAACATCTGTCACACCTGCCCGTGTCTGCATTCTACATATCTGCATTCTATTATACACTTGTACTTGTGCTTCATTTGCAAACCATAATTAGAGTAAATGTCCTGTGATAGTTCTGGGAGTGGAGCAGCACAAAAACGGTGCGCAAATCGTGCAAAAGTTGCCAGGCTTTGCATGTGTGTCCATCATGCCATGTTGGACTATTAGAGCCTGAGGGCACGACGTGTTTTGACTAGGCACTTGTGCACGAGTTTTTGGGCATCCTATAACTATGGACACACGTAAGATAGGTTATGTCAACCTCTCAGAAAACTTGCGCCGCAGGACCGCCACTTTGGGTTTCCGACTTGAGTCGTGTCACCCTTACGAAACCGCCGCAGGATGGGCCCAATGAGCAGTGCAAGTGCAGTTCAAAAAGCATACAGATACGAGACTGAAACTATTTTAAGGGTCCATTTGGTAGAACATCCAGAGGGACATTGTGACTCTACCATGTTTGCGTCCATGATAGGCAAGGGTGCCTAAATTGTTGAGCTTTGGCTGGGTCCAGTTTGGGAAGCAGGCAAATCAGCTTGGGTTTTTTGAAGCTCTAGTTTTCGGAAGTCAAAAGTGGCTCCGAGAAGCTTTCAACCCAGCCACATCCCCTCACATATTGCTGATGTGCTACTGCCATTTCAATGTTGCAGTGATTTCCAAACTTGTTTGAAGACATCGCATCCACACATCTCTCAGCTGCAAGGGTTGGTTGAGGGTACCCTTTGCCAAGTAGCTCCCTTTCCATCGGTTTTCCGTTTGGCATCACACATACAATGCTTGTATGTGTAGTTTATGTTCCGAAATCCAGAGACTAAAGCCGTGGCCAGACCAAAAATGCACAGGACTGGTGAGACCAATCAGCTAAGAGGGTAGGTTTGAGGGGAAGGACGTACCATATCTGCATGTGAAAATTTGCCCGCCCTGGTGGCTTCCACTGGCATGAACTTGGATTGCTCACTGCTGAGAGTACGCCCTTCAAAGCCCAGATTTGGAGGAAGAATGCTGCAACATTGCTAGCACTAGACCTTAATAACAAGCAGCAAGGAATGGAAAGACTCGATTCTTGCAAAAGTGCTACGATTGCACACCGAAAAAGAACAGGCCCGGATGTGAATACAATATAGCAGTACATACCCATGAACACGCTGGGAGTTGGAGAAAGTTTCTGATAGAAGCCATTCTGCTAGAGAAAGCTGGGATCTATCCAAAAATATTGCAGCATTGTAAGAGTATATCTTAACAATAGGCTAATGCTTGCACCTAACTAATTGCTGCACAAGCTTGACTTTCTAAGGTTATTCCATTTATTGAGAAAGAACTCTACAGCCGTTCAGAATGCAAATTCATAAAGACATGCTAAGCGTTGAAGAGAGCCAGTTCGTGCAAAATGAGAAGAGTCTTCCAAATCGCCGAAAGCTGCCAGAACTACGGCCGAATCAAATATTGAGTCTCATTTTCACTTGAGCAAGGTAAACATGACTGGATGTGTCTTACCCGCACATGAGCCCTCATTCTCTGCAAGACTTTCTTCCACCACTCTGGAGATTTCGGTACCGGAGGTGAACAAGAACATTAGAGAAATGGATTCGTATCGAATGCTCAGAGTCTACCTGGAGAGCAAAAAACAAGTTTGGAGAAACTTCTGACATGACGTGCTAGACCACTGAAATCACCAAACACTGGACACATACGTACATTCGGGCCCAAGCACATTAAGTCAAAATATGGTCTCTTGGGTTTATGAGTTCTGTAGGTACAAGTGATTAGCAATATTATACATCCGACCAAAAGCAAAGAATCACTGGACTCCCAAAAATAGGATGGCATAGAAAATGTTCAGTGTAGATAGGCACTGGAGCAGAGCCCGGAAAGCTTTAAAGTGGTGCAAAGGTCTCGGGGACAAAGGACCAAAGGGACCAAGGACCAACGGACCAAAATGCTTGATTGGCTCCCTCAAACTGCAAAGTAAGCACTGAAAATCCGTGGATCTGCTCAGGCCGTGCGGGTATCCCAATAAAAGCTGCAAGGTGGTTTGAAGCTGCCCAGGGCCTATTCTCCGAAATTCAAGGAAGCCCACAAGTGTGTAAAAGTAGAGCAACATGTATATATATATATATATATATATATATATATATCCGTGAAAATCCCGCCCTGGAGTCTACCTCAACGCCTGCCTCTTGAGTTCTATGAATTTGTTTGGTTTGTTGATTTGGTTGTCTGTCTGTCTGTTTGTTTTTTTTGCTTACTTCTGGGTTTGTGTGTTTGACTCTGCTTGTTTGCTTGTGTGTGCGTTTGTGGGTTTGTTTGTTTGTTTGTTTGTTTGTTTGTTTGTTTGTTTGTTTGTTTGTTTGCTTGCTTGCTTGCTTGCTTGCTTGCTTGCTTGCTTGCTTGCTTGTTTGTTTGTTTGTTTGTTTGTTTGTTTGTTTGTTTGTTTGTTTGTTTGTTTGTTTGTTTGTTTGTTTGTTTGTTTGTTTGTTTGTTTGTTTGTTTGTTTGATAGTTTGTTTGTTTGTTTGTTTGTTTGTTTGTTTGTTTGTTTGTTTGTGTGTTTGTGTGTGTGTGTGTGTTTGTTTGTGTGTTTGTTTGTGTGTTTGTTTGTGTGTTTGTTTGTGTGTTTGTTTGTGTTTGTGCGTGTGCGTCCGTCTGCAAACTGTGCCCGTGCACACTCAATGATTGCAGGCAAACCCCACCTCACACTCAGACCAGGCAGACCATTCAGACAGCCTGCCGAGTTCGGAATGGCTCTCATTAGCATGGCAAAGCTCAAAGCCATGTCGACAGCACGAGCCTGCAATCTGTGGCTTGGCAATCCCCGTAGTTGCAGGCGCCGTTTTCCAATTGGGACCCCGAACATGAAAGACCACCTGCAGCTCACTGCATTTGCCCAAATCCAAAGAGACCGTACGCTAAGCTTTCCGCCAGGATCAGACTTTCTCTGAATGCGCCGCATCCTATTTGGAAGCAAGGCGTTGTGGTCAAGGTTAAACGCGAGTCACCATTCCGCCTCTCATGCCTTCCACTTCCACACGACACACTGCACCTCACATGACAGAAATCGTCTCATGTTTGAGCTTAGGCAAAGGCATCTGAGAGCTTCGCCGGCCCCACGAACCCCACTGTGACCACAAGCAGCTCAGTGGAGCATCTTCGGCCAAGCAAGCCTTCAAGAACTCAACAACTTCAAGATTCTCAGAATGTGCAAAACTCAAAGTACTGAGCTACGCGGCCTTTGTCTCTTTCACGGGCCCATGGCAAGGATTCCTTTCAGCAAGGTTCAGATGCACCCCATGGCGGGGCTTGGATACTCACTCTTCAGAAATTGAGCTGGCTGGGTGGCGCGCCCATCTGGACTTGCCGGCGCCTCGATTCCACGATGTCTTGTCGACTGATCGTAGCCTTACCCAGGCGCTGGGCACTGCAAGCACCGATACTGCACATGAGCTAACAGAGCTTTTGATACATGCCCTCCAGTGCTGCTTCCGGCAAACTAAGCTCACATCTAGAATTGCAAGCAGTCCATGAGGACCAAGCCTTAAAGGCTTCGCATGACTGGACCACTCTCTTTCCGAAATTTGTCAAGAGCCCGGCGGAGAACTTGCAGTCTGACAACGTCTCTTCGCACGGGATTGTTGTGTCACCAACTCGGTGTGATTCCACCTGCTCATGCCGATCATGTGCACCGCCTGACGGATCCTTGTTGGTTTTTCAAGGATGATCGGATGTAAAACATGAGTGCCAGCACAACAAAACAAACGAGCATACCATCCTAACTACTGCTGCTGCTATCGCTGCTGCTACTGCAACTGCAAGCACTGCTGCATCAGCCACGACTACTTGTGCCATAGTATTGACCTTGTTTGCTTGCTTGCTCCTGCTTGCTCTTGCTTGCTCGTGCTTGCTTGCTAACACTTTCACAAGTATCGTTGCTGTTGATCTTGCGCTTTCTGGTAATGTTGCTGCTGCTGCTGCTGCTGCTGCTGCTGCTGCTGCTGCTGCTGCTGCTGCTGCTGCTGCTGCTGCTGCTGCTGCTGCTGCTGCTGCTGCGGCTTCCGCTGCCAGTGCTGCGGCGACTGCTGCAACTTCGGTCGTTGCTGCTGCAGCTTACAACAAATTGGCACATTCACTTGTGTCCTAAGCTTTGCGACACCCGTTGATTAGAGGGGCAACTTGTGCACGTTGTCCGCTTGTATATCATCGATCAACTAAGCATGCAAAGCCAACTGCGTGTGTCATCACAAAAACAAATACGCACAGAACCACTTCAAGCCAAAAGTGTGTACACGATGGATAAGTGCGCCAAAAAAAAACAACACGGTTGACAAAAGCATTCAAATATGACTGCCAGGCAGTGACAGGCGCACCGTGGGCCCGTGACAGGGATAGCCACATTCGTTGTTGATGACCGTTACCTGCTCATGTCAAACTGCTTGATTATTTGGCATGCGCACTGTCACACTATAAAGATTCTGCCTCTCTGCGTCGATGGAGAAGCCCGGTGCAGCCTCCGCTACTGTACCAGTCCTGTGTCAGCTGCTACGCATCCAGCAACAAGAGACGCGTGGGAATTGCTGAGAATCACGAGTGGAAAGCCTGCCAGTCACTGAATTGACAGTCTCGTGGTACACATGGCCCTCCGCAATGATCGAGATCAGGACATCGGCCCTTGATTCAGAGGTTTTCCGTTTTTCTTGCGCTTCTTGGGAGGTTCACCGACATGGCAATTGTGCAAAAGCATGTCAACTGACAGCAGAAAGCTGTGCAAACCAAACTAAGATGGCAGATTTAGGTCAATGGCCCATTCTTCATCATATCCGGTGCATTCTCTGTCAAATCCTTGGGCATGCAGGCTTGCAGCACACGGCAACTTGTCTTTCGCCTGGCATTAGAAGAGAAAAAAACATGCAAACAAAACAAACTTGACGTCTGGCATTTGCTAAGGCGGTTGCCCAGTTCTGCACTTCGGACTCCAAGCGGCAATCTAGGATTGCACGACGACTTGACAACTTGATTGTGTAACAGCTTCGGAGCTCTCCATACATCATGGAACAGAATCCATTAAGTATGATGTGCTCATTGGTGCGGGCGTACAACATACAATCACAGGCAAGCATGCTGCAGCCACAGCGGCGCTGCAAAGCCAAGGAGAAGTTGGGCAACTCGCATCACCTGCATGCGAATTCGGTACACACAATAAGCCTTGAGTCTTAAAATAGAAGCGCCTGAGCTCCCGTAGCCAAGTTCGTCTGCCAAAGTCAAATCATGTGTGAGCTGCATCTCGAGGCTATGTGTCTGCAGGGTTGAAGCTTCAGTAGCCAACACTACTTCACAAAATACGCAAAAGTGCTCCGTCAACTGTTTATCACTGAGTACTGACATCACAGCTGATTTTATAAACATTCCTTTCACAACACAAACGGCCAGCAACCACTTGCCCTGGGAAGTCATTGGTAAACAACAACTCACTGCTGTGCATTTGTGTGTGTGTCTAACAACTTGCTACAACGCAAGCATACCAACCAAAACAACTTGCATAAACGACAAAATGGATTGTCAAACATGAACCGTGCTGTGCCTGCACATTCTGTAGTTACCAAATAACAGTGTTCGATGTTCTTTTCGTGCAACATGTGCGCAGTGCGCTGCTTCTCACACAAGCCGGTTTTCACTCGTTTCCTGCCATGGAATGCATTGTCACCACCTTTGTGCACAAACACACAAAACTCAATAACTCCAAAATTAACCCAGCATTGCAACCCAACAGCTACACCAAAACCTGGCCAAGGAAGTTGCCACTAAACTCAGCGCAAAGGTAGCGCTTGCAGCAATGCGCCTGGCGCATGAAGCTGACAGTTAAGAGCGGAAATCACATATGTCCAAGGAACAGCGGAAGCGCGTGTTTTTTTGCTAGTTTCAGTGGGGTAGGCGTGGGTAGGTGGTACGCGGGGCAAGAACTTTGCCGAAATACGTTAGGAGGCTCTGCGCTCAACACTTGTCAATTGTGCGATAAACGCATCAACAATCGGACACCGAAAGGCTGGGGCAAATGATTCCCCTTGCGCGGCCTAAAAAATCTGGCCTCCCCTCGCTCCCTCCCGCTCCCTCTCCCTCTCCCTCCCTCTCCTTCCATTTCCTCCCTCTCCCTCCCTCTCCCTCCCTCCCTCCCTCCCCTCCCTCCCTCTCCCTCCCTCCCTCCCTCCCCCCCGGCACGTTTTCCGCACGCGAACGACTCGAGGGGTGGTTGTGAAATTACAACACAGGATGCTACAAATTCGTAACAACCCGCGACCTGACTTCGGTCAGTTCTAAGAAAACATGTTTGAAGGACCTGTCACCGGCAACATCCCGGAGGTCCTGGACAACGGAGAGGTAACGGAAGGCACGCACGTCACAGGGCGGCTGGCCCTAGCTCTGACGCCCTACGCGCAAGTGGCAGACCTGGCCGTGAACACGGCAGCATCCGGCAACAACCTAAGATTTCGCACGAGGCCTTGTCGACTTTGAAGCAAGATTTCAGTTCTCGGTATCCCTCAGAATTGTTGGATCGAGACAACATGCCCAACCAGCGTGTGATGTCTTGGCTGCACCGCAATACTCAGGAAAAGCATTGGCGTTCTTGTGCTTGGCGCTTTCGGCTTTCCACCCGCCAGCAGGAGGAACGAGAGCTCGGACCTCGATTTGCGAAGCGATCCAAGCTGGACTTGAGCGAGCTCATGATTGATGAAATTCCGACTCGAGAGATCGGTCCTCAGCTTGGCATGTATCAGCTTAGCAGTATTCTCAACTTGCGCACCATGGGAGTGGCTTTGCTTAAAGGCGCCCATCTGCTTAACCTCAAGGAGCACGATAGAGCTTTTCTTGCGCGGGCTTCACACAAGTTTTCTCCTTCTGAGCTGGAATACGCTGACCAGCAGATGTGGTTCATGGCGGCTTTGCTTCAGCCACGCCCAACCGTCCGCGAAAGGGCAAGACCGGCGGCAAGAACAAGTCGGATTGGCCTGGCAAGGGCCGTGCTTCTGGGAAAGGCCATTGGGGGCAAACAGAATTGGGTGGCTTCCTTTTCTGGCAAAACTGTTTGCATGCGTTACAACACGCGGTAGGGTTGCACTAACAAGAATTGCCGATTTCTTCACGTGTGTTGCGCGCAAGACCCAGCCACACAGAAGGTGTGTGGGGGCAAGCGCCCAGCGGTGGAACATAAAGGTACCGCCCATTGACGAACCCCGGCAGGATGCTGGGGACGAGGATCACACGCCCCGTTCTCCCAGCCCACAGGAAAGGCCAGCGCTGCTTTTGGAGGCAGGTGACCAACACATGTGTTCAGGAAGCCGACGTGCTTCAATCGGTTTCACCCACACCTTTGTCAGACGCACTACTTTTCCGCTTGCCTCAGCGATGATGGATTTGCAGGTGGATGTTTTGCTTGTGGATGTTCTGGCCCCGATGATCGATCCTACGAGCTGCTGTTGCGGGTTTGCTTTTCTGGTACTGCGCGGGCGGCAGCGGCCGGGCCACCTTGCCACCTTTACAGTCGGTTGCGCACGGGGGTCCTCCCCCACTGCGCGCTCCGGATTTCCTGAACGGTCTGCCCGGGCTCTCTGCACGCCCTCCAGCACCCGACTGGTCAGCCTTGTTCGAGAGACCCATGGTCAGCGAGCTCTGCGACGCTGCTCCCGTGCGCAGCCACCTGCCCGTCCGTGGTGGCCAGGGCCGCTGCCGTGGCCAGAGGCGCAATTGCCGGCGCCAACGTGCTGCTGTCCAGCTTCGAAGCCAGCTCTGCGGTGACCCGGTCGTCCAGGGACTGGATGGCAGCTGCGTGGGAAAGATTCCGCCCGCGAACTGTCAGAAAAAAAGCTGGGTCTGCAAGAAACTGAGATTTAGCTGCCGTCGGCTTTTGACGGCATCGCCGCCACAATAAGCGCAGGGCTGCCCTGCTCAATGGGTCGGAAAGCCCGAGTCAATACCAACAGATGAAAGCACACTATCAACCTCGTCCTCTTGCGAAGCGATGCATGCAAACAATGGTATCGTCCACTGCGCTCCGAGAGTCCGGCACTCGGCGTTTGCAAGGTTTCCCTCCGAGACGCAAGACAAAAGGCAGCCATTTGTTTGCTTTGGCGCAGATGTCGACTTGCGTTGCAGATGCTGTCCTGACGGATGAGGTCGTGAACGAGCCGCCGCTGGTTTCTCTTGCGGAATGGCTTGATCCGACGCAAGTTAGCGGGAGGACTTCAGCTGGGCAGTCTGCATCCCTATCCGCTTCGATCGGCTGCCCAGCCTACAGGCGGCTACCCAGCCCACATCCCTATCCGCTTCGGCTGCCCAGCCAACACACACCCCTCTGCGTGAAGCCTTGTGCTTTGACTCCCAGTGAGTCCAAGAACCCTGCGCGGGTTGCTTCGGCTGAAAGCCCTGCGACCGCTGCTTGTGCGCCGGCAACACACCCCAACGCTTTGGTTCCTCCCTATGTGGTTCTGGTCAACCGGTATGAGTGTCGGGCGCAATGCAACAGTTGTCATCAAGCACATTGCGGGCGGTGATGGGGGCAGTCAACCAGCACCCCCACCAGTGTCGGGACTGCTACAAGCACGGCGTGACAAGATGTTTTCCCGGAAGCAGAACACTCCACGCTCCACCACGCTCAGCAGGAGGACGACTGGGGTTCATGGGAACCACCATAGCTGGGGGTGGACATGAGCTTTGCTACCCCGCCCGCTATTTGGGGCGTCTTCACGCTTTTGCGGACGCAACATCAAGCATCTGCCGCAACGTCCATTTCACGGGCGGCGCAATAGCCCCTTCTTTGCTGGGGCCCGTGCGCAAAACATCGGCCTCAGCCAACAGCACCTCGTAGAGGTCCATTTGCTTAAAAGTGCTTTTTCGTATTTTTCGTTGGGTTGAACGCTGCTTTGCGACATACATACTTCAGCACAGATTGATCCATGCATGGCTCAAGTATGTGCATGTGTTGTGTTTGAACCTTGCGTTCAGCCCTCCGTCTTTGGTTTCAAGTGCAGTAGGGTATTCGTGCGTTTGTGCGCAAACATTGCTTTCTGAGGATACCGATGCGGCTTCCGAGGCATTCCACGCTTTGTTCCAGGAGTGCTCCTGTTCAAAGCCCTCTGGATCCAGAGCTACGCAAGCGAAGCTTTCCGCATTCCATTGCCCAAGGCCCTGCAAAGCTCGGCATTCAGCCCATAAACGCATAAGCGAGGCAAAGCGTGCCGCTCGGGGCGAAAGGCAAGAACCAGGACAGTTGCTACCTGTAGATCAAAAATCCTGATCGAGTGACAATCCCAGCAAGCAAGCAAGCCCACGCAAGTCACTGTCAGCTCAATATCTGGGAAGCGAGGCACTCATTTTGCTAGCTCAGCCCCAGCACGGCCGTGTAAAAAGAATGGTCAAGGGGTCAAGCCCCAGAAAAGCTGGAGACCACTTCAAACGCTTGGCCATAACTCCGCAAATGGGCGACGGGGCTGCCCTTGGCTCGAAGCAAAGTAAGCTCCTCTGCAGGCCCCAAGTCTGAGACCCTAAAGATGTTGGCTCCGCACTCGGAGCTGGCACTTCTTCGCACGCTGGCTGAAGATCCACTTCGGGGAAGCAACACACGAAGGCAAGCTTGCAAAGCCACACACTGGTCCTGAGCTGGAATTTGGCCTCCATGCGACAACCACACGTGTCTGGCCTCAGTGGTCATTTGTTGGAGCGCATCAGCAAGTGTCTCACTTTTGCGGGTCGACCCTGCCACCGCAGAGGGTTTCATTGCTTCGTGATGTTTGCCGTAGGGCTCCGGTGAGTTGAATGCAGAACCCAAGAGGGCACTTTTGCCAAAGGCAAACTCAGTGCCAGTAGCCAGGGAAAGCCTTCAAGGGGCTTTCTGTAAATTCCAGAGCAAGCCGTCGGTTTTCGTGCCCCCTTTTTCGCGTGAGGAGGGGGCTGATTTGGGTTACCCAAACAAGAAACCACGCCTTCTAGGGAATCACCGTGTCACGTTTCACCTTCCGTTAGCACGCAGCCTTTGGTCGTGGAGGCTTTTGCAGGCAAAGCATCTTTCTCTAGAGCATTGCTGGAAGCAGGTTTCGCAGTGCTTAGTGTGGATCACCAAGGTTCTGCTAAACCTCACTGCTGCCTCTGGGCAAAGCATTTTGTGGACAATGATCAAACAGCCCCAAGTTGTGGCCGTGCACCTGGGAGTGGCTTGCGGGTCTGCAAGCCGCGCCCGGGAGCGTCCGATGCCAAAGCATCTTGCGCTGTGCCCGGCGATGGCGCGGAGACACAGTGCCCGAGTCGGCGA